AGTAGGTTGTGTCACTTGGGGCCTCGGCTCCTGATTGGTTGGCCGTTCGTGACGTCACCGTCAGTTCGGCCGCGCGAGTTTTCAAACCGTTACCATTATCTAAACGTCACACGACCACGTACATTAGAGCCTAGGAAGTCTGTCATGCGACAATTTGTGTTATAAACGTTTTTTCACCACAAAATTTAGCCTTGAGACAGTCACCTGCCCCATGGTCTCTTTGAGAAGAGGTGATTGTGCCATGTCAGCGGCAACATAACCTCGACCACTGACTACCGTCTGGATTCTGTCGTCCGTTTCTATCAAGCAGAAGGCACTAGAAGCTGAATGCACTCACTGTTTGTGTGCGACTCTTTTTTTTTTTACCGTTTTGTGATTATTTCGTGTTGGACGATTTTTTACAGGAATACATTTAAAGAGTTTACTTCAGAATCCGTCTTTAGCTACCTGTAATTACAAAGCATGACTATTGATAAACATACTGCTATCCCTCTTGTTTGTGAAACAATCGAAACTGGTAAGTTTTGTTTACTAGGAGAAATAAATGTATGAAAATGTAAACTAAAAATAAATTATGAGGTGATGGTAGCCTTTGGAGTTGCCTTTATTTATTTGATTTCATTTTGAGTTGAATCTAAAAGTTCAATTAACCTTAGACTTGTAAGGTTATCTTTGCTTGGTACTTTGTTTTGTTTAATTTTTGTTTCACTTTGATTACTGTTGTGTCACATTATCAATGCTGAATGTATTTTCTCATTAAGTTATATTTTAGTTTACATTGTCTTCTGTGCATTGCAAAAAGGAACTTCGTGATTTGGCTTGCAATTGTTGAACAACTGTATGATACGCTGCTTTTGAACTGAAATTGAGTGCCTCGCAACAACAGCAATGAGAAGCAGGAAACAGATAAGTCTGTGTGAAAAAAGGTAACATAGATGCTGTGCTTGTTATCTGACATGTTAACACACACTGTTAAAAAAATTGCTGTAAATTTACAGCAAAAATGTGATTAATTTTGTTAGCAGCACATACTGTATTTTTACAGGCCTTACTGTAAAAAAGCAGCGTTAATGAAAATCTCGGAAACAAAGTTTCCGACCAAAAGCAGTTACTTTGTTTTGCTCCTGTAAAAAAAAAGTTGTAATAAGACGAGTGTCCTGTTTTGGAACGAAATGTGCTGCTAACAAAATTAACTTCTCCTTTCTTGTAAATGTACAGCAAAGTAGTACGTAGTAGTTTTTGTTGTGGGCCACTATGGGCCTAATGTCACAAGTTTCGTGAGTGTTCAAATGAAAACAACATTTCTGTTACATTACAGGAGTGTCAATCAGGCAGTATGTCGTCAGGTGCCAGTTATTTTTAACAGTGCAAGAGGCAGCATTATTTTACTTCGGATTGATCTGATATGCTAAAATGACAAAGTCTAAGTTGATTCAGAAAATAATTCATTTTATTTGTATCAAAGGATGTAAGAGAGTTGATTTGGTTAATTAGTTATATCTGTCAATAAGAGGTACATCTTTGGAAAACTTAGATTATAGAATTTTATGCAAATATAAAAACATTAGCTATACTGCATTCAAGTAACGCCCAATATCGGCTTTTCTTATGAAAAAAATCTTATCACGTATAGCTTTGACAAAACAAAAATTAAATCTTTCATGATTAGAGGAATTATTGATCACTGATTCCAAGCACTTAAATTTTAATCTAATGAAAAAATAACAAAAAGTATCACAGTCACATATTTAAGAAACCAGTATGTTGACTAAATAAAAATGTATCACAGCAGTATCACTGATTAAGTATGTTGATAAGGAAGGGCAGCTTGAGAAAAAAACTTAAAAATTGTCACATTTACATTTAGACATGCACTTCAAGTTAACTAAATAAAAATATAAAATGTGTTCTATCAGTTTATAATCTTTCATTTTCAGGTTGTGAGCTTCTTCATTTTTCGAGCTCTCTTCCTTTCGCTCGGAACAACTTCATTTGCAGCCTTGCAAGCACCATTGGGCTTCTTCTTCTTTGCTGGTTCTGCTCTCACTTCCTGTGATTTCCTCTTTTTGGCCTCTTCTCTTGTCAGTCTAATTTCCTCTTGTTTTTTCCTCTTTTCTTCCTCCAGCTTTTGTCTTTTCTTCTCTTTCTCAGCTTTAGCTTCTTCTAATTTCCTTTTCTTCCCCTCTTTATTTGCAATTCTTATCTGTTCTTGAATTATTTTCTTATCATCCTGCTGTTTTTGTTTCTGCTTCTCTCTCTCAACCTTTGCCTCCTCCCTCTGTCTTTGTTTTAGTTCTTTGAGGGCTGCTTTTTCTTCTCTTATCCTTTTTTGTTCTTCTTCTTTCTTAGCTTTCTCCTCTTGTTTTCTGATCTTTTCTTCTTCTTTTCTGGTCTTTTCTTCCTGTTTTCTAGCAAATGCATATGCATTAAGAAATTTTATTCGGATTCTTGTACGCTGCAAAATGTAAGTTTTGATTACATTTTCAGGTATTGAAGTGATCTCACACATTACTTTGAAAACACATTTTTTTACAGTATTTGGACCCTTATAAATTTCAGACTTGTGGAATTCTTGAAATACTTTTTCAATGTGGAGGGCAGAATTTAACCATTCAGGACTGGGCTCCATGAGTCCACCAAAGGATAATTGTTGGACCCATGATGGAAGTTGAGCTGCAGAGGTATTTTTTCTTTCTCTTGTTGGGTTTCCAAGCCATGGTAAGTCTTTGTGCTTGTAAGCTACCCATCCCGCTAAATATGTGATGCCATCCCTTTCCATTTGATCTTCTAACATACTTTTTTTTCTATTTGGTTCTAGCGCAACAGTGGGTGGTTGGCAACTAAAGCTGGCTCGTCAACTGAAGGATCGTCAAACAAATATTCAGAATCGTCTTCTGGTGAAATAACTTGAGTGTTATTGACACTTACAGCACCATTGCCACACAGATCTTCAGTGATATTTGAGTCAGTATTTTCTGTGCTTTCCTCTTCCAGGGCTTGTAGGGCTGATAATGTTAAAAATTCACCACCATCATTTTTACTTCTGTCCAGTGAATTTGAGTTAGCTTGGACTATTCCTGGGTTTTTACCAAGTATAACCATTCGCACTCTCCAAAGGGCCTCAGGTGGTGTGGGATGGTCATGGAGGCCACCTCTAGTACGGAGCTGTGAAAAGAAATTTTCAAGAACATCTTGGTTGAGACGGTGAGTAAGTAAGAAGGGTTTGTTAAATCTAGACTCCATTTCAATACGCAAAAGTTTTAAGGAAGAGATTGAAAGCAAAATAGCCTTTTGGAAAATCTGCAAACATGTTTTGCCAACACACTTCATGCCTGACATCAAAGTTGTCATTTCATCTAAACACTTTTCTTGAATTTCTAGATTTGTGCCATATGCTGATTTGAGTGGCACGTCATACAGAATGTAGGAGTTAAATATATCAAACCACCCATTTATGGTTTCTATAACAGAGGCTAGTTTTGTGGCTGATTCATCATTTGGGAAATATCTTCTTAAAGCTGTAGATGTGCTTTGTGATATCAGTTCAGCTGCAAGTCTCACTGATTGCCTCTCTGTTTTTTCACATTTTATATGGCGGGAAGTGAGCTTGAAGCATGATGACACTTCTACCTGATTAAAGAGCCTTTCCAGAGGGTCTTTGTTTACTATTGACCCATCAGGTAGAAAAAAGCCAGTATCTACAAGCCAGTTACGCACTAGCTTCAAACAATGAGGTGCATCTCCAAAGAAATATATTTTTTCATTTTCAAGAAGAGGGTGGGGCATCCATGATTTTGCTGTGCTGATGCCTGAGTCTCTCAGCAGGCCTTGATTACCTCCACCCATGTCAGAGCAACACCCTTTCACGAGGTATCCTGCCTCATGGGCATCAGTTATGAGGCTACGAAGGAGATCAGGCATCATCTTTCTATCAAAGTCTAAAAAAATTGGAACCTTCCACTTGGCAAATAAACCCCTTATCATGGCAACCTGCATCTGTGAGTGGGGTCCCTGGACACAATCATGTTTTGGGTCATATTCATGCACTTCCTTAACTTTGACCTCATCAAAAGTAACAATTCCAATTTTTTCATGTTCTTCAAAACAAGCAGCAACAGCTTTCATAACTTTAAAAATGCATTGAAGGCTTCCAGGTCTTATATTTAATTTTGATGCCCACCTATGTAATTTTGAAAGAGATGGCAAAGGAATTTTCAGGGTTTTTGTCACAAATTTGTAGGCTCTCTTTCCCATGTACCTGAGAGTGAATGCGATGGTCAGCTCTTCATCCGTCCAATGAGGATATTTTCTTTGTCCCGTCAAGATTTGGATTTGGTTAGTAGTGAAGACACCAGGAAGATATTGATGAATAAGTTTTGTGATTTCATTGTCTGTTAATTGTTGTGTTTTTGATTTTATCTTCATATTCTTCAAGGAGGTTGCCAAATAATTATTTTCCCTAGTTAGAGCTCTTATACTTTCATTTGCTTGTTCTAATTTTTTTTCCATCATTGAGTTATTTTTTTTGTGTTCTTGTGCTTCCTTTAAGCTCTTCTGGAAACACTCGTCCAGTTCTTTTTTAGAGAGGTTTAGATCCTCTTTCAATCTAGACACATCGCAATCTTTTAATTTCATTTCATTCTTCATAATTTCAAGCTGTCTCTCTAGGTTTTTAATTAGTTCATCTTTATCATCTATTTCAAATTGCACATTTCTTGCATGCAAATCAAATTCATTATTATAATTGTTTCTTTCACTTTTACTTATCTTGTTGGTTTGACATAAATCACAGTTATCACAGTTAGTATCACAGAAGGAGAACGGCAATTCCACCTGAATTCTTTCATTCTTGATATTTTGCACTTTGACTAGATTCAGTGTCGGTATGGCATCCTTCAATAATTTTCTCTTCTTCGGCAGGTTGAGGAGTTCGCTTCTGAAGTCCCTCTCATAGCTGCTCTCAGCAAAGTGTTCAGAGCAAATGTAAAACACTTTGGGATTCCAACCCTCTTCACGCCCACATTGAAGCATCCACAGCCTCTTCCAATTGTCTGCTTTTGGGGAACAGTGAAGTATGACTCCTGGTGGTTTTGATTCGGAATTGATGCAGCAAGATATTATGGCACAGTGAGTTCCGGGCATTGTTAGGATAAACTAGAAAAAAAAGAGAAAACATGACATGAACAGCTCAACCTTATTGTTAACTTAATTTCTAGTTTAGGCTTCAAGTGCAATGTGCTTCAAAATAAATTTCTAAAAACCCCTACTGTTGTATGCATTTTGTTAACTTTATGGTACTGGAAAATGGCTCAATTTAGCTTTTTTTTTACAAACAACATATAAATAACCTACCTTGTTGAAACATGCCACGAGATAAGACTAGAAAACGACACAGGTGCCGTTACCGTTGAGATTCAAATCAATGCAGTTTGGGCGGTGCGTGTACGCGGGACGCGGGGGTTCAGTGTAAGCGCCGATGTGGTTTCTCTCGACGAAATAAAGTGAATTGCATACTTTTTATTATGTCATAATAATCGATTGAAACTACTAACACAAACGCATTCCCTCACACACTTCCCAAGCTCTTAATATGCCAAATGTACGTGGTCCTGTGATGTTCGAATGTTGGTAACGGTTTGAAAACTCGCGCGGCCGAACTGACGGTGACGTCACGAACGGCCAACCAATCAGGAGCCGAGGCCCCAAGTGACACAACCTACTGTAGGACCTTTGGTCCCCCCCTGCGCGCAGGCGCGCGCACGCGCGCCTGCGCACAGCCGCACACACGTCGCGGTCCTCTTTACCGGTCCCATAGAACTGTAAAAATGCAATAGTGTCCATGGCCGTCGGAAGTGGGGTGCAGGGGGGGGCCCGCACCCCCCCCCCCCCCAGAATTTCAAGAAATATTAGGGAGAAAGCAAGGTTTTCCCGTGGCGCATAGTGGTAATTCAGGGTGTTGAGACGTACAATAAAGCCTTGCTTGCGCGTTCAACCATATGGGCGACCATGGCTGTCCCACACTGTACTCTGCTTCATGTCACTAGACACTATTGTCGATTCTGATGAGGGCAGGACACTATAAGAAAGACGCAGAGTGTTTGGGACAATTTTGTTCAAAAAAATCGTTGGAGAACATTATGTCTTACGGAAAGATAAAGAAAATTCAAAACTAATTAGTAGTAAAAAAATCATTAAAATTG